TTAACAGGAAAAGGTGGAGGGTCACAAAGAAAGGGGGGAGGATTAAAAAAGAAGGGGGGAGGGTTAAAAAAGACAGGGGGGAGGGTTAAGTAGAAATGGTGAAGGATTGAAAAAGCGGGAAGGGTTGAAAAAGAGGTTTGGAGGGTGAAAAAAGGTTCCCCCGATTTGTTGTTCAATGCGCTGCAAAACACGCTCCGCCATCCTCCTTGGCATGTTGGATGCGCCACACGGGGCATTGGAAGCAATGCTCATTCCGCAAATCTGCATCTTGCTTCTGAACTGGAGGTGCAGATGTTCACCGACGTTGGTGAGCGTGTGTCACATTGGGACATTCAAAAATTTGCATTGGATGATGGAAGTGCTAGAGACAAAGGCCTTTGCAAGGCCAAGCAATGGAGCTACTCCCTCAAGGGGAATTGTTCAGCAACAGCTACCACCAAACGTAACGGCCAATGTCAAACATGCACAACAAGCAAGCTGTAAGACGCAAGCAATCATTCCAAGATGACTGGAATCCTTGTTTTTCGTTGCGATTGATCTGCGACAGGTTTCTTACACTTGTTGCAGTCTCCCATTGCAAAAAGGAAAGGGCAAGGGCACAGCAATCATGGCGTAGCTTCCATGACAACAAGTGAACTAAGGATTCCCTCTTGGCAGGGAACTGGCCCGTTTTGCCACGTTGCGGAGGCAAACATGGAACTTCTGAGCCAGGACGAGGAGGAGGCTGGGGAAAAGACACGTGACTGGGTCCTCAGGGGGATGCTATCAATGGGAGCTGATGCGAATGATTCGTCCTGCGCACCTGAGCATGAATCATGCTGCGCAGCCATGCTAGGCAGTCAAGCGAGGAAGTCATGCTGGGCAATCATGCTGGGTAAATGCTGGGCAATCAGTCTGGGTAGTCATGTTAGGCAGTCAATCTGGGCAATCATGCTAGGCAATCAGTCTGGGCAGTCATGTTAGGCAGTCATGCCGGGCAATCATGCTAGGCAATCAATCTGGGCAGTCATGTTAGGCAGTCGTGCAGGGCAATCATGCCAGGCAATCAGTCTGGGCAGTCATGCTGGGCAATTATGCAGGGCAGCATGCTGGGCAATGATGCTGAGCAATCATGCTGGACAGTTACGTATGCAATCATGAAGAGCAATCTTGGCGGGCAATCATGCTGGGCAATCACGCCGGGCAAGCATGCTGGGCAATCAGTCTGGGCAGTCATGCTTGGAAATCATTTCATGGCGCGCCAATTCTGGGCAATCATGCTGTTCAATCATGCTGGGCAGTCATGCTGGGAAGTCATGCCGGGCAATCATGCTGTTCAATCATGCTGGGCAATCAGTCATTTCATGGTGGGGCAATCATGCCGAGCAAGCATGCTGGGCAATGATGCTGAGCAATCATGCTGGACAGTTACGTATGTAATCATGAAGAGCAATCTTGGCGGTCAATCATGCTGGGCAATCATGCTGGGCAATCATGCCGGGCAAGCATGCTGGGCAATCAGTCTGGGAATTCATGCTTGGCAATCATTTCATGGTGGGGCAATCATGTTGGACAATCATTTTGGGCAGTCATGCTGTTCAGTCATGCTGGGCAATCAGTCTGGGCAGTCATGCTTGGCAATCAGTCACGCTGGGCAATCAGTCTGGGTCATGCTAGGCAATCATGCCGGGCAATCATGCTTGGCAATCATGCTTGGCAATCATGCTGGGCAATGATGCTGAGCAATCATGCTCGTCAGTTACGTATGCAATCATGAAGAGCAATCTTGGCGGGCGTTCATGCTGGGCAATCATGCCAGGCAAGCATGCTGGGCCATCAGTCTGAGCAGTCATGCTTGGCAATCATTTCATGGTCGGGCAATCATGCTGGGCAGTCGCGCTGGGCAATCGTGCTGGGCAATAATGTGTTATGCCGGGCAATTGCCTAGCAGAAGCGCTGATGCGTTTCGCTGTTTGCGAGGATAAAGTAGAAGGCTGTAACGTCCAAGGCAGCTGGCACGATTAAGAGTTGTCCAGCTTGTTCATTGGGATCATGATTGCAACATGTTTGGTTGGTCTTCACAAGACGCTGTTGTGAAAGTATGCTTGAGCTTGTGCCCTAAGATTGGTGGTCTGCCTTGTGCCTTGCAGGTTGTTTTCGAGTGAGCAGGCATGGACTGAGATTGGGATGGTGGGAGCAGGTTTGAGGAGGCGCACGTTGTGCAACATTTGCTGCTTGTGAGCGCTTTCTTGCCAACAGATAGATCAGCTTGTCATTACAACAGTTGAGGGATATTTGAGAACTATCTGACTTGGGTCACATTGACATGGAAAGAGTCTGCAGACGTTGAGAGCAAAGCTCACGTTTGTTTGCTACCAAAGATGCAGCTGTAGCTGAGTCAGTCTCCGAAGTCTCCTCATCAAATCTAATCAACTTGACCCCAACGTAGGACCCGTGGGCAGCCACCGATAGGCTCTATGCAGATAGGTTTGAGCACACGGCATGTCTTGCTGATTCTTTCCATGAAACGAGTTTGGTTGGAGTCTACTTGGATTCGATACAGCCACGGCTTCTCGTGTGCAGATCCTACGTCTTTTGTTCACAGCATGCCAGCCCTCTGTTTGGCCAGGATATGGACAGGTAAGTAGCAGTTCCCCGCACTCTGCGCGCAAGCGCGGGGGTATTGTATCACTTATTGTATGGACCAACATTCAACGGGGTACCCCTTGAGCTTAAAAACCATTGTTTTTTGAATCGCAAAATCGTATGCGTTTAGGACATTTGGAAACAAAGAGAGGCAGAGACGGCAAATGCATTCCCAGGCCGGTCACGTTGATATCTTGCTTCTTGAATTCTAGTGGTGGTGATTTCTCTTTTTCTCAGACTTTCCTCGACATCAACATGATACCACGACTTTTTTTGGTTGGCTTAATAGTTGCCCCGAGACTCGACAGTTTTGTTTTGGTCCCAATCACTTCTCGGTCTTCGATGGCGGTTCATTGGGGTCCTTGCATGGCCAGCTCCAAGAAAGGCTTTAGCGGCATGAAGGCTTTGCCCAGGTTGGGCTAAGGATTGGCCCAGGTTGGCCCCCGCGCCCAGGAATCCCCAGGCCAGTGATATCGACTGGGTGCAATGACCCAAACCGCGTGCGCCCATAGCGAGCAGAAGATGCAGCATTTTGACGCTGCATAGTCACATCATGCAATTTAAGAACCCCTCACAAATGTTGAGTGTATGTGTTTCCCGTGAACTCAATTCAACACCGGCTGGGCTGCCTTTTCAGGATGTTTTGGTGGAGTTTGAATGGGCAGCATTGGAGTAACCACAAAAAGTCTACTGTGCCCAGGGCCACCATATGTCCAGGGCGAGAGGCTGTTTGTTCAGAAAGCCACCTTGGTAGCTGGGTATGTGCCAACATAAGCTGTCAACATGGGGCAGTGCATCGGTATTTGCCTTTCTGACTACTCATGCTGCATGACTGTCTGCCAAGCAGATGCTGAATCACAGTTCTATGCATGTTAGCCGTGCCAAGCTGTGTAAAGCCCCTGCTCACTGTGTGCGCAATGCATCAATTCAGGGTCAATTGAAGTTGTGCATGGTGCGTGGCATCAGCGGCGCCTCTGCAATTGACCCCGTTGTCCTTCAATCCAGCAATCCAGCTGCAATCACAGGGCCTGAAATGGTCCTGTGTTCGCCTCTGCGGAAGCACTTTGCTCCACATCCAGCCGCAATGACATGAGATACCAGGGCATGTTTTGGGGATGCGACAGAAGGAAGGCATTTTTAACATCTTGTAAGCCCAGATGAAAGGACGGTTGAGTCAATGCCTTGACTTGCAGCAAGAGTGAATCTTTCTCCCGCACTTTACTTTCTTCCCTCAGCATAATCATTGCAAGCTGTTTGGGCTCGTGTGTTTCAGAAGTCTACATGTTTCGCCCGCCACTGATACGCTCTCCGCCAATCAATCAGCATGAACAGCGATCCTTAAACGTACTATGCACAGGCTAGATGTAATACTCACAGCTGTTGTCGCGAACAGACATGTCCTTGGGAAGGCAAGAGCACAGACACTGGTGCGGCCATTTTCATACACAGCTAGCCAGACTCAAGCAAAAGGCAGTGGGATTGCACGAATCGGCCATCCGCTCAAGGAAGTGGTTGTGCCTGTCACTGTATGTGTCTTCTGGTTCTATTGGCAGGACTCCTGTTGTGAATTCTGGCCTGATGACGGGAGGAAGAAGACACTATTTTTGCCAGAAGCCGCCCGAAAAGGACGCCATGTGCGTTGAGCTGCATCGTCAAATCATATTATAGGGATTTTATTGCCATGTGTGCAGTGTATGAGTGTGAGCCCGAAGCAGCAAACTTGCTCACCTAGACCTATGCGATGAATTTGCCTGACAATTCAAGCACGTCCTGTTTGTTAAAAGGTTACCGTTGGTCGCTTGCCAATGCACGTGAAATGAACACCTATTATTTTTGTGTGCACAGCATCCATGGCCAGCTGGTGACCCGCGCCCTTGGCGCATATGAAGCCACCTTCGGTGAAGCAAAGCCCCAGGATGTGCCTCACGTGGCTATTTCGCATGAGCAAACTTGATACGGATTGTAGAACGTGGTCTCCCAGACGACTTGTTTGGCGGGAGAACTTGCAGCACGGGAAAATGCAAAGCAGCACATCCTTTGCTATCCCTGTGTAATTGGCCTAGACAGCGTGAATCGCATGATCGTTGTGGCACCAGATGATTTGAATCACCTGCACGACGCAAGCGCTCTTTTTGAACACACTTGATGCAATCGCCATGCATGATAATTGCTGAGCAAGACGTAATATGCCGGCAATCAAGCAAGATCCCCCTAATACAGTATGCTCGGTGCACGAGTTACCCTTGAACTGCTGAAAATGTGAAGTGCATGTTGATATGAAGGCGCTGTCTTGAGATCGCTGCCCATATCACACCAGCCTCCCGCTCAGACGAACCGCATGAGTCGAGTAAGCAAACGACGAGCGCCACCCTGAGGCGGCGGCGCGCTCCAAAGCCTCGACTGCACTGGGCACCGGCGGTGCCTGGCCCAGACGGAGGGACAGGTTTCTCAAGAAGTCGGTGCCCCAAAATGGTTTGTTCTTCTGTTTTGGTGTTTGTTTGAACACCAACAGGGGGGTCCATGTTGCGAAATCGGCCGGCCCCTGCCCGAATCTGTCCGTGACTCGAGGTTCAGACATGCCAAGTTAAGGTTCGTTGAAGGCTCCCCTTGGGCGGGGATTGGTGGATGGCCCAGTCTGACTTAGGATCAAGGATGAAGAACCCCGAACTTGGATCAGTGAACATGTTGAGAGAACCGATCATGCTCTGACGTTTGAAATGGAGGAGTTCACCTCAAAACGGCGCCAGTTTGACGCCACATTGGAGCGTGAACCATACGCAGGTCTCAGCTTTTGGGGTGCTTTGGATCGATGTTTGTTCCCTCAAGTTGTTTCCCCTTGCCTCTTGGTGAACTTGGCCAAGGAATCCAAGGTTAATTCTTGAGGCAGCAGCCAACTCAAGCAATGATTTGAGCCGAACTACTACTGAGGGCTTTTGCTGGGCAATCGCGGAAGATTCGTGTTTCCGGCCAACCTGGGAAATCAATGACTAGGTTCCATACGTGATTGCTAGCGTAGATGGGCAAAATATTAAAACCCCTGTATCAATTGTAACCCCCGCACCCCCAAAGTTCAATGTTGTTGAGCGTTTGGGAAGAATCCAGACGAGTGGACGAAAGAAATCAAACCCCCATCAGCAGACTTAGGGACTCTGCGCAACATTGAACTTTGGGGGTAAGGGGGTGAAAGTGCAAAGATATACAGGAGTTTGATTATTTTGTGCATCTACTGTAGGCAACATCCGCCTTTTTGATTCTTTACATGGTTCTGGGTAGACCATTTTGGCAGCGTGGAAACCTCAAAATCGTCTGGTGATACCGATCGGTTTCGATTACGACTCACTTTGCCTTCATCACTGAGCCTTCTGCGCCAGGCGAGGGGCGGCGAGGATGAGCCCTGGGGCCGAATCGAGGCGCCGCTTTTCTTTTTTGTTTGGGGGGGTGGGAAAGAGTTGTTCAGCCAGTTATATTGAGGGATGTTTTGCTGAGGGTACCCCTTTTTGGCTTGCTTTTCAAGGGACATCAAAAGGGGAACCGTCCAAACGTAAGAAAGACACACCCCAAATGGCTGTGGTTGAGAAGGGGTCCCATCCACCAGGTCTGGTTTGTTTTCCGGAGTCCAAGCGGATAGCTGCATGCGGCGGCAGTAGGCTGTATCCGCAGACCACTCATAGGGCCCTTAACTTTCGACTCTCAGCTGGTTGAGGTGCCTTGCCGTATCTCCATTGAATCACAGATTGCCAAGGGGCATGTCAGACTGGTTTAGCGGGAGGGGACTTGTTGTTTAGGTGAGCTTTGACTCGCCTTTTGCTGAAAGCATAGCACAAGTTCCTGCGAGCTGACTCGTCGCATTTGAGATCCCACGTAGCATTCTTCCTTTGTTCACCACCGACGCTTTGCATCCCTGATTTTGCGCAACCCAGCCACTATCTTAGGGTTGACATGGTGTTGAAAGTTGATTTCTTGATCAAGAATCAGCAACCAATGCTCAAGCTATGACGCTGACTAGTCTACCCAAGGAGGACGTTTGCTTCGGTCATGAGATGTTTCATGTCGGTGCCAAATCGAGTCTTTGTGCAGGTCTTTGACTGGCCAGCGGCCCGGTGCATTCCGATGCTTGAGGCAAGGCAGAAGGCACACATTGGGACCTTTTGGGACACCGCTCAGTAGTCCATGGTTTTTTCATTGACACGGCAAAGCCACTCTTGAATTTATGCTAAACTCTCCCTTCTTTCGCTTCCGTGTCACGTTTTCAGGAGTGGTCGCCTCTTAAGCCGGCACAGGGCAGTACCAGGGTCCAAAAAAGGGTCATATTTTGACACCCCCACTATGTAGGATGACAAATTATTTCATCATGATGAAGTCAACTTGTTCAGCCGACTTTAGGGAAGTAGCCACACGCGCTTTCACTGATTGCAGACTTAAATTGAGAAGTGCCAGCGCTCAAGAGCGATTGCCCTTGGAAAGAGAATCTGCATCCTACCCGCCGCCTGTAGGTGCCAATATAGAGTGTTTTTGCCTTCAACACGCGGAATACTATTTTTTTTGGACGAACCTGCAGCAGAATTTCATCCACAGAGCTTGGAGGCGCCTGTAGATCTTTGAGACACAGACGGCATCTCGTCGCGAGGTCATGGGACGCCAGGTTTTCGGTGGACGAGAACCTGCTGAATCTGGCGCTCGGAGCTGAGACGCTGAGAGGTTGAGAGGTTGAGAGGCGGAGAGGCGGAGAGGCTTGGCCCAGAAGTGGATGTCCGCGCGGCGTGAATTGAAACGACTCTTTGAAAGGAAGCAATATCAGTTGTATTGCATATGTGATTTGCCGAGCCGGATTGCGCAGCTTGCATTTTTGGTGTTTGATGGCAAGAAGAAATAGTG